AAACTCTGCAGACATTGCAAGTGATTGCCCAACATGTGAGCTTGTTCAGGTCCCTGCCAGTCAGTTAGTGTTCAAAATCCATGTCCTTCCAACTGTTGCCCCTCTGGGCTTTGAGATCAGCCCCTGACCGCTGCCACAGACCGCTATTTGAAACTGAGGCAAGTCTTGCAATATGACGAGGGCCTCGCAAGCGCGAGCTTTTCAAAAACTTTGGGTCAGAGTTGTCAAGACTTGCCTCAGTTCTAGGGCAAACGATGAATTCGCAATTCAGACTCGTCAAGCTTGACATTGACAAAGACGCCGCTGGACGAGGTTCCGCCGCTAGCAGTAGCCCCCGTTTTGATCCACATGTCCCGCTTCGGGTTTTAGCATTGAAGGACAAATGATAATTTGTAGGCTCAATACGGAATGAGTGTATCTATAATGCCCCGCTTACACCACGCTCGAGCAAGTGAGTCCTTACTAGATGGCCGTTTTAAAGTTATGGTGTTTGTTTTGAAAAGTCATTGGTGCACGACCCAGCGGGAAAGCGGGCGATATCGGGCAGAGTTTGTCAAGGGAGCAAAGGTTTGACCGTCGACGGTTTTGTTGGCAGCCAGTGACCTGGACAGCAACTCTTGAAGACACGGTTTTGCTGCTCCCACACGTGAAAATGTCGAAGCCAGCCAGAACTCTGCTGAGCTTTGGGTTTGAGCACAGGCCATCCCGGTTCGGGGAGTGTCTGACATTATCATTTGGCACCAGACCCGGAGATGAGCGGTGGCAAGTGATTGCGGGCTCATCAAGAGACAAAAGGTATTGCCCTGGCGCTGCCCTGTCGCTGCGTGAGTCGATGTTCCGCATGCAGTTGACGGCTGTGGATGGAACTTGACGTGCTTTCGATCCAAGTTAGGCCTTCGCAACCTCAAGCCAAACATGCATGGCTTGGTGGCTGAGAACCTTGCAGGCATTGATCAAGCAGAGTCACACTCATAGCAAATAGTACTTTTGCTTGTCAGAGACTCCCGGACCAGAGATCGACTTGACGTGCGTCACACCTGGACCCATCTTTGTTGTGACCAGTTGGAAAGCGGCGCAGTGGTGACCACAATGATGTGCAACTGACAAATATGAGGCTTGCCAAACCGTCAAAGCCTGTCCAGGGGCCAGCCTGGTACAAAGGTAGTTGATTAACATTGGATCGGACGCCTTCAAGAGTGTTTCCCAAGCGCACCATGTTTGACATATCCTGGGCTGCTGACTCACGACGGATACTTGAACATTGCTCAGCAACACACCATTACCAGCTCTTCTTTCAAGGTCAAGAGCTGCGACATGACCATAGTTTTGAGCCATAGTGCTGGCTCTTGATCGTTGAACATATCATTGCAACAAGCTGTGGGGCCTTCGATTAGCATATGTTTCTAGGACCTTGCATGCTATTGTCGTGCTTGCTACAAAACCCATGAAAGAACCCAACGAAGAGCCACCTCCTTTGCTGCTAGAGGGCGCCAGAACTGCTGTTGCTTTGAGCAATCCTTCTACTTGGCATTTGCAGCCTTTGCAACTCCCTTTTCCCCATTGAAGCAAAACGCGCGCAAGCTGATCGCGCGATCGGGCTTAGCTTAGCCCCAGTTGGTCCTTAGGCCCACGCAAATGCAAGAGGAAGTGCCGAAGGCACAACCCGCGCACCACAGACATCCACAGACGGTGTGTGTGCTTCACCGCTTCCAGGTGATCTTTGACTTTGGCAGTTTTTTGATGCACTGCGGGGCTGCTGGTACGTGATTCTCTGTGTGCTTTCATTTATGGGTGGAAGCTGGAGGCACCCTCACCCGAAGGGGAACCGGACACAGCGAACGAGTTTCAAAAAAGGGACCATTTTGCTTGCAGGTGCAACAAACGCATGGTCAGATTGAAACAACATTGGATCGGCAAATCGAGCCTGAACTTCCACCCGATGAGCTTGAGTCTGAGAAGTTGAGGAGTTTGGGGATTCCATCATTTCATAGTTTCTTAAGTGGGTGGAGACTCTTTCTCTCGTCGCGCGGTGTACTTTGTTTCCTTTTGTTTCAATTTTTCAGCAGCTGAGATTCAAGGGAGCGAATGTCAGAGACAAGAAAAGCTAGGCAGCTAGACTGTTTGAAGGTCTTAGATGTTTATCGTCATCAGTCATCAGTACTTCTTTATTTCATCACGGCGTAGGCCTGGTTTTGTCACGGTTGGAACACAAAGGAGAGAGATAGAGAGGGAAACAGTTGGCTTCTAGTATGTTCCAGCCTTGTCGGAGGCAAGCGCAAAACATGAGTCTCTTCGATGTCCTCCCATTTGGCCTGGATGTGCGTACCCCTCCCTGTGCTGGTATAGTGCGTTCGCACTCACAACAACCCCTGTATCATCTGTATCGAATCAATGAATCGAAGCAGATCTCTGCAGACAACACTCGTCCGGAGGCTAGCCATTACCAGCCCATGGGAGTGAATTGCTTGTCGCGCTACAGTCTGAGTGGAACTCTATTGGAATGATCATTCAAGAAATGAAAGCGGGCTTTCCAGCGTTCCGTGCCCCAAAGATGTTTTTCTATCTTTTCATCTAACGCTCCTTTGCTGCGTCGTTGGGCAAGGCCAGCACCGGCAAGGAATCTAGATGCACGGCATCTAAGAGGAAGGAGTTCACAAGTTGGAGAAGGAAATAAGAAGCACGAGGACGCGCGCAACAGAATCATCAAGACAATAGAGAGAGAGAGAGAGAGAAGTGTGAAAAGAAAGACGTCGCGTGATCTGAAGCCCAGATGTTCAATGACAAGAACATCCCCCCACCATCTCACTTCACACACGCAAACGCCGCAAGTGTTTCAACTAGTAGGGTGTTATTTGAGGCTAAACGGTGCTCTCCCCTATAGATGAGCACTGAAAATCGTTGTTGAGGCATCGATGTTGGCAGATCAACTGATCATGAGCTTTGTTTTTTTTCCCCAAGCAGGTCCTTTGTCGTCGTATTGTTTTGCTGGCCGTCTTGTTTTCTCCCCTTGTCTCCGGTGGTGCTGGGTCGCCTCTTATGTCTGTGCTGTCTGGGTTCGGTGTGGTGGGTTTCCGCCAGTCTCAGATGTGCGTTTTTGGGCCGCCTGGTATGTCTCTGGCTGTCTCTACTTGTCTTTGTTTGCATACAGAATCAGGAGTTGAAGTTGGTGTGATGGGACCTTCTAGTAGCATTCAGTCAGCACAAGACTAGATAGACTGACCTTTTGCGGTACGTGCAACGAAAGGCCGATTTCCTTCCGCGTTTGAAGTGGAATAACATGGAATAACTATACCACCATTTCGATCGTCAGTCAGTGGGGTGAGTCCAAATAGTGATCTTTTTCCAAATTAATAGGCTTAATTACCTGTGAGGGGGTTCTTCACTTTGGATGCTTTTGCTGGTCGGGCTGGTCGGAGAGATTTCTTCAGTGGGTTGCCTCTTTTGTGATCTCCGGCTGTGCTCGGTGGCCGGTCACCTCTGTTGCGGTGTCTCTTGCTGACTCCAGTTGTCTTCGTCGGCTCGTTGGTCTTCAACGCTTGATTTCTTTTGAATCTTGATATTGCTTCACAAGAGAGCGTTGGCCATGTTCACGCTGCACAGCAGCTTCAAGGCTGAGTTTCTTGCGCCGCTTCTTTTTCCTTCTTGGGTTCTGTGACGGAGTTGTTTTCCATCGGTGAGTGTTGCTTGTCCACCGGCAATGGACCCTGGTCACAGGAAACATCTTCACCACTCCGCACCCGTGATTCTGAGACGAAGGAATTTTCTTGACTAATTATGATAGATGCCTGCCATTCTGTGTCAGTTTATTAAGACACGTCGGACCTCTTGCACTCTGATTTGTACTTTCTGGAGTCTGACAACCTTTTCATAAACATTCTTCGCGAGAGCACTTTAGAAATTGCAGAGGGAAAAGAACATGGCATGGCGTTGCACATTTCAATTATGACGATTTGTTCTACCAACCGAATCCAAACTTCCCACATTCACAATGTGTCGCACCATTTTCGATGAATCACTTGCAGCAATGAACTCCTTCTGCGGAGGTTCTTCCCAGCCAATGCAACGGAGTGTGCAACGGCTGCTGTCGATCGAATCTGTGCTGCAGTCTTTACTAGCAGTTCATCCAAAAGTCTCCGTGAAGGGCTGGGCCGTTTTCAATCACGTTCATACAAACATCAACAAAGATTTGTTCACAACAATTGTACTTTTGGTCCAGCCCCGATGGATGTGAGGCACTTGTTTCACGCATGAAACGCTCATGGGTGCTGGTGCTGGTCGGCCCGGCGATTGCTGTTGATGTCAAAAAGTTCGAGGCGCAGATTGGGCCTGGAGGTGTTTCCAATGTGTCCTCTGTCACGTCGCACTTCCAAAGTCCCTGGGACCAAGTTGTGGGCCTGGCCTTGGATCGAAGCGAATTCGAATTGTTGTATTGTACTGCAAGTAGAGCGAAACAATGCTGGTCTGTCCAACATCGTGTTTTGTTTCTTTTTTTCCCATCGAGTTTTGGGACAACGCACGCACCAGCGCAAGGTTACATGCGCAAAGCTGCAGAGCACACCAAGCACCAGAGGAGCGATGACTTCGCTGTCCGTGAAGATGCCAATTCTGCTGATCAGTTCACCCTGCGTTTGCTGATCGGATCTGACACCTGTCTGTGATTGAAACGGAATCAAGAAGCCAAGCTACTGCCAGACTGCCAGGTCCAAAGACCAGCTTGGTACAGTACCAGGATTGTTTTTGCCAGGTATTTTGCTTTCTCCGTTTGGCACTTCCTTTTTTTTGTCTTCATTCTGCCGGCTTCTTCACTTTGGGATACCCAAGGAGAGCAACAGAAAGACGGACATGGCCATTGTCACCCACTTTTGCGAACCCAACTGGGCACCAGGCGCCTTAGCATTGGCAGCGTCATTGAGGAAGACTGGTACTCAGCACAATTTGGTTGTGATGATCACGAGCACCCTGGAATGCAGTCGGGGTGGTGTGTTGTAACAATTTTTGTTTCTCGTCGTTGCTCAGCTTTGCATGTTCAACAGATCATCAGGTAGCGAATGTCCCCGTAGCGAACAAGCCTGTCTCAAGTCACCCTCAGGCCCTCAGAAATGACAGTTCGTCAAAGCCTAGTCCCCCAACCCTACAGCAGCGTGTACCAGGGTACGACTTGCCTTGGTTTGACGAGGTGACATCAATGAGCGCTACCGGCGCCTGCTTTCGCACGTCTTTGACAAGGCGCACGCGGAGACTGACTCACCACCTACTGTACTTTTCTTAAAGTCTTGGCACAAGCTCAGCAAGGTTTTCGTCGTATGTATGTAGATGTATGTAGAATAGATACAGCACTCAAAGAACTAAACTAAATTAACTAATTCCAGGCTCTCACATTTTGTTTGACGCATGTTGGTCCCACTTGATTTCCATCACCGACTCCTTCATCCATGCAGCTCGCAGGTCTATGTGGAAGAGCCGGTGACGCCACATGCCTCCATCACCCGGGATGGCGCGGACTGCGTGACCTTGCAGTTAAGGTCATGGCAGTTGCTATACCGGAAAGTCCTGTGCCGTGGCCAATGAGTGTTTTTTGTCCTCGTTACTTCCGGATGCGTGGGGATGTATGTCGGCTTTGATACAAAGATTCTTCATTTCGTGTTCGGAAAAAAAACACAAAACCATTCAGGCTCCAATTGTTGCCCATTCAGTGCAAGATGGTCACTTCAGTCGGCCACTGGCATTCCAACAAGCTGAGACGGAATTTGTATGGCCAGACAACACGGGACTCATGGCACTACCGGGGGGCACCATCGGGTACCCAGAAATGTAGCAAACAGGCTCTGTCCTCTTTTTGCAATCCGCATCCTCCTTTATTTTTCAGCGAGGTTGCAGAGGTTGACCCTCGATGGCAGAAGTTTGGTTCACTCAAGGCTCAACCTCACGTTCTGTGTTTGAAGGTCCCGATTCTGGGTCCGGAACATTTGCGTCTCGGTGTCGGCTTCATTGCTTTTCCACTCTTGATCCGAATGTTAAAGAGGTCCCCTGCAAAAACAAGGCAGATTGCCAACAAGATTTTTTGGTAGGTCCCTTGGTTGGCTAGAAGCATTTCCCAGCAGCCGAACCCCATGCCGAACCCTCTCCACAGGTACGTGGATGCGGACATGCAGCTTGACCGGACGTGGTAGCAATGAGCGCCATGGATCCCTCAATCCGGTGGTTGAGGGTTGCATGACATGCAAAGCGGTATACGGTATACCGCTATACCTGTTCGGTAAGATATAGTAAGATCAATCGGATATTTTTGTGGGTCCAAACTGGGGCACCGTGGTTGACCGAACATGAACAGAACAAACTCCTAAGGAGGTCACCCTACCAGGGTGACACGGGCTCCGGGTTTGATCCACAGCCAGTTTGTACCAGATCCGCAATATGTGCTTTGGTGCCAACACATACAGATTGTTTAATGAACAATGTATGAACAATGACAATGTATATATTTAACTTTTTGTGGAGGGATTTGGTTCAGGCGTGTGCCCGTGAGGCGTAGTCATGTTCTACACGCCCTTTGCGTTCCATCGGTGTGCCTGCCCTTTGGGTTTCAGGATTGCTCTGAAGAGCCACGACCGGTTGCTGGAAGACTTTGACGAGCTTTCAGCCCGAAAGGATGCAGGCCTTTCCACTCAGCCACACAGTCGAAGTAGTCGATCGACGCAGCTGACTTTTTGAGGTAGGTGGTCACAGACTGGCCTTGTTATGAGAGACCTTTGGGCTTGAAGGCGAAGATCGGGTGGCCCAGACGGCTGTTGTTGTGCTTTGTTCATTGTTCATGAGTTGTCCAAGAATCATATGGGTTGAATACATTAGTCATGATCCTTCCGGTTTTGGGGCCGATTCCTTGAGCCAGCTGTTGTCCAAAAGGCACCGCCGGAGTTTTGGCCATGTGTGGCGTGATGTGGCGTGGCGTGGGGTCTCTGTAAGGATCAGGTGATTTCTGTCCCGACCGACGTCGGCCGCTTTGCTCCACGTCTTCCCTATCTTCCCTGACATATTCCTGGCATACCACTTGAGTCTGGAGTTGCAAAGTGATATATGTGCTCCTTCCACTGCTCGCGTGATTGACTTTGCTGAGGTTCAATGGTGGAATGTTCATCCTTGAGCCGTCATCCTCAAAATTCCAGAAGTTGCGGCAGCTGTTACTGTGAAGCATGAGGAGGCACAGTCAGTGTTATCACGCAGTATTGAAATCACTATCTTGTGGCACTTTAAAGACATACTAAGACTTTGTAGTTTCTGCAAGAGCATCACCACCATCATCTCAGAGCTGAGGTTGAAAAAGGCCCAGCCTAACCTTGGATTTGGAGGCATTCAGTGGCTTGCTTTGAGTGGGATGATCGGCCACTGTTAGATACTGTTAGTATTTAACTCCTGAAGAAGATGAGACCAGTAGGCCATGTGACATAGCCCTGGTTTCAGATGCCTCCCAGATCCTCCCAGCCCAAAAGAAAGCAAGTGGGCCCCGAGGTTAATCTTTCACTCTTCGAGATCAGACACTCAGAGTTCGAAAAGCCCAAGTCTTGGTGGTCCCAGGAAACAGAGGAGACTATGGCATACACCCTTTGAATACCTCAAAAGGAAACGACCTCGACCGCCTCAGGTACTTCTTGAACCATGCCTTTCCAGCTGGCTCCGTTCACCATGCAGACAGTGTGGGATGCTGGAAAGGAGAGTTTTCAGAGCCTTAGCTTTGGTATGGGGAAACACTTGCCCAGCTCGCCACAGAGAGTGAAGCGATCATGCATGTCCCTAGGACGAATTCAACAAGTTTACCCGCGACGTGGATGACAGGAAGCTCAATGCGAATCAATATGCCACTCAGCTTGACGTATCTACGCGATCGACGCAACATGTTGGGTAAACTTGGAGGTTGCCAGGAAAGCACCGTGCGGAGGGCTGGAAAACCAGGGTCTTGGGCCGCTCAACTTATCGTCTTGGGGTTCATGAACTCCAAGAGGTTTTTAAAGACAACATCATCAGCTCATCCCACGCATCATTCTCGTAACACATCAATGCATCATCTGCATCATATCCATAGCACACAAGCGCATCATACGCGTCATGTAACACATCAGCGCATCATCCGCATCATGTTCATAACGCATCATGCAACCAAAGTTCGTTTTGGCCCCACCCCGAACCCGGCCATGATGCCGGGCGCATCAGCTCAGCCTACGCCATCAGCTTTTTACATATATTAGACATAATGCATAAATAAGCGTATAATCAAGATAATGTCGGTAATGCGTTTGCGCATCATCGGCATCATCATCATCATAGTAATCATCAGCAGCAGAGTTGATCATTTGCGTCCGGCGACCCCCGTTGACCCAATATGTTGTTTGTACATGTTTGTGCCGCCATGTGAATTTCCACTATAAAATGGAGGGGTTAACCCTGTCATAAGGTATCAGATATCAGGAGTGAATTTTGTTGAGAACTATGTTCTGAAATATTTGGAAGAGCACACATTTTTAACTTTATGTTGAAAGGGAGGTAGTGCGGCAGGGGTGGAGGCAACACAGCTCATTTTCTAGAGGCAGATGAGGCAAAACCACGATCCTGAGCTTACTTTTTTGGGTTTGTGTGTGTGTGCAGAATATCTGTCCAAATTTGCTGAGTGCGCAAAGATTTCGAGCACACCTCTGTACAGACACTGGAGTGATGCCCTCTGTTTGCTGTCGCAAAACACACAAGACACAGCACTTGGAAGAAAAAAGGCCTGCATTCGAGCTGTGATGGCTGAAGGCATGGGGAGGCACACGTCGTTTGTGCTGCAATTGCGTGGTGACGATGCTGATGTTGAAGCTTTGAACTACCATGGATGTGTGCAATTTCCATTGTGTTGGCATACAAACAATTCAAAGACATTGCTTTCAGTAGCCCCTGAGAATCGCAATTCCAATGGGATAGACAAGAATGTGATGACTTTGTGGTGACTTTCTTGTTTGCTGCAATTCCATGGTGGGACAGTGTGGGGTGACTCTGGCGGTTCCCTGTGTCCTCTATGGGGGGGTCAAAATAGCTTTGTTTGTGTCCTCTATGACATGGTTGTGCGCATGCAACCTTAGGTACAGCATTCATATAGACGACCGGACCGCACCCTAGAAAATACAAGTCCAACCTCCGACTTTTGCTAATTTCTTCGAAATTTGCTTCTCATTGTTTTTTTCCTGTTTTGGTCCCTGCATCCGCTGCATACATGTCCAAAACCTCTCGCTCCATGTTCCTCGTTTCGTTTCATCGTGCCGTCGACTGAGGCGAGCTTGCACTACAGTGGTGACTGGGGTGGACAGCGCAAACCCTGGATGTCCGGCTGCCTGGAGTCCTCCGACTCGGTCACCCACGAGGCCACTCTGAGCCTCGGAGAAGGAGGGACTGGAGGCTGGGTGGAGGACAGTATGGCTGGAGGTATGAGGGATCAATGAAGATGACAGTGACAATCCCAAATACAGGCAGTTGAACCTCCTGCTTCAACAAGCTGGAAGGATCAGAACCAAGTCTTGGAGTGCCTTCCGTCCCATCTGTTTCATGATCAGCATGGACCCCCCCACCGGATGTGTCTTTGTCATTCTTTGTCGACATTCAACAGACCACAGTCAACTAATCTATTGGGCACTCCGTCGGGGCGGCTAGAGAACCCCGATCCACTCACCCTGACCTCGCGGGGCCTGATCAGGGCGGCCAGGACCCCCCCCGTTGTTCGGAAGATTAAGCCATCTTTCCATCAACCAAAAGAAATGTCTTTGGGCTAGGTGAGCTAGTGCACCAATGGATTCTTCAGGGATAGACCAAAACCGTTGTGGGAAGGATGTCACCGTCTCGACCGATCCTGAGGCAAAAGAAACTTCTTGGCATTTGGATAGATGCCTTCCATTCTGTGTCAGCTCCTTCTGACATGTCAGATCTTTTGCATACTGATTGCCCGGCAGAGTTTGACGATTTCTGAGCTGCTTTAAAAGAAAAGGACAGCAGAGAGAGAGAGAGAGAGGTTGCAAGCAAGAGCACACTTCTCACAATGTACTGAGATGTACTGAGAACCCACTGACTTGGACATTTTGTGGGACAATCCTTCGAAGGTTCAAAGTATGGAAGACAGATCGACATCGAACTCAGATGACCTGACAAGAGGACACGTAGACTTAGAGTGAGAAAACAGAAAGCGCCAGCATGTGGAAAGCCAAATATATCCTTCCAAAGGAGTACAAAACACCCACGGACAAATCGAAACTTGAAGCACTGTTCATCAATTTGGCTGGTTTGGTTTGCACAAGACCAAGTCTGGAAATAAGGTCATATAAAGTCCACGATTGACAGGGCTTGATTCCCTTCCTTTCATTCGAACGCTTGACGGGCTGCCATGCATGCCACATGCAGATGGCCCTGAGACGGATGGTGAAAGGTTCGGCCAGGTGAAGGCGGATGAAAGTTCTGTCACGGCCGGCAAGTTACGTTTTGTTTTCGTAGGCTGACGGCCGGGTGTGTTTTGATGCTGCCATGCATGTGTGCAATGTCATTGCCGGGATAGC